GTCACAGCTCACACCAACCTCAAACTCTTGGGCTTAAGTGATTCTCTTGTCTCAGCCTCCCAAGTAGCTGGGACTACAGGCACCCGCCACAACGCCTGGCTACCTTTTTTTATTGCAGTTGTCATTATTGTTTAGCTGGCCCAGGCTGGTTTTAAACCTGCCATCCTTGGTGTATGGCCTCATAACCACCGTGCTACGGGAGCCTAGCCCACAGTATTTTTTAATTGTTGTGTGGCTTAAACACTTAACGATGGAACATATTTCACTTACTAAAAAAATACTCCAAACAGCCTCGATTTCAGAAAAGCAATTAAGGACCACTTTGGGAGAAGAGGAAATTTTCAGCGTTGCTGAAGGCAGCACATACTAAGGAACTTACATGAGCACTTAACACTAAGTGTGGAGAGCTATTCTGAGAGCTTTATGCAAATTAACTCAGTTGGTCTTCACAGACACCCTAGTACTATTAAGTATTACTTATTTTAATCAGAAGACACTCTTTTGACAGTAGTCTTTCCATGTATTTATTTTACCAGCTACCAATCATTACACTACTACAAAGAAAAATAGAGAATGTACCAGAGGCCTTAGGAAGGAGAGAGGTGTAGTCCCTGAGAAGACAGTGGAGGGTGGGTTGCAATAATAGTTTTGTACCACATGGAAATTTTTCAAAGTGCCAAAGAATTTTCCAAGAGAAGTGAGTCAAAAGTCATATCCCCAAACTAGTGGATATTGGAGTAAATTCAAGAGTTTCTTTAAGCTACGCCTGTTGACATTGAATAGCAACATCTTCCCAAAGTGAGGCTTGAAACAATGTCATTGTTAGGCCATCCCAAGTATAATTTAAAAGTGACTAGTACTAGAAACTGATGACTCAGCACATGCACAATTTATCATTTCCCCTGGTGAGGTCAGTAGACATCTGTAACACACTTTCCCTCCAGTAGCTCACACATGCAGGATGAGGGTTTCTGTTCTGAACCGTAGCAAGGAAAATTACCACTTATCTTTACAGACCACCTCACACTCTGTGGGGGGGCCTATAAAGCCTCAGTGTCAAGCACCATGATGATACTACATTCTATGAGTGGGAGTCCAACTAGGCCTCTTCTGATGCCACCCAGGTCACAGGAACACTGGTTTTGAAAATTTCAATGCTCTGTCTGCCTTGTACATTTTAATTTTCTCCTGTAGTCCATGCCGAGACCAGTGTGCAGGGGACCACAGTTGGACAATGAGTATTCCAGATGACAAAGCTGAGATTTCAGTCTATTTCTTCATGTGATAGTCCAAGTATTTTTTCCTAGAGGAGGAGAAAGAAAAAAAAAAAAGAAATAGATTCTTAAAATTCCAAGTTTGATTCACTGTTGAAGTGAAAACATATGCCTGTTAACTTTGCTCTTATCCCAGCCATGCCCGGAGGCTCGGAGACTGTGTTGTGTCAGGGAGGGTTTGGAGAGGTGGCTGGCATCCTTGATCTGCCCGCAAGGAAAACCTCAGTCAAGGTCTTATGTTACATAAGGGTTAACACGCTGGATCTCTTCTTGTAGATAGGAAGGCTTTGAGTCTGTATTTAAAATGCAAAAAAAAATAATAGGTACTGAAAGGTGGATGACTATAGAGGTCGCAGACTTCCCCTTTCAGAGTGCTGGTGAATGAGTGTCGCAGGATGGCAGGGAAACAGGGTGAACTGCGCTCACGGGGAGGAGAAAGTGCCCAGGAGTAAACGGAAATCTCACAGGCGCTTGTTTAGCATGTGTTGTACCTGGAGTTGCTATTTATTCGTCTGATTGATTCACTTGCTGCTCTACAAATATTGGCTGGAAGTAATGGGAGCTCTGGGAGATTAAAGGGGGCGTAAAATACATCCTCACCTTCACAGGGAAGTTGGGAAGATGAGATGCACTCATGAAATATGGAATCCTAAGATAGTTAGGAACTGTGAGCTTCTGAAAAGCTTGTGCAGGGGAATGGTTTTCTCTCCGCCCACACCACTGCAAGGACATGACAGAGAGCCACAAAAATACCCTGGGCCATGGGAAGTCTCCCTCCATATGTTCTTCCTCAGCAGTTCAGGGACTCTGAGCACAGGTCCCTCTCCACATCTCCTTCACACGTCCCTAGCTCCTGTCAGCTCTCATTTGCTCCTAAGTTTCTTTTATTAACATCCTCTATTTTTTCAACACTTTTCTGTCACTTTGGAAAAATCAGTCCTTTCTCTCATACTCTTTCTTCTTCCGATTTCCACTGATATGCTCTCACTCAAGCCTAACTATGGTCCGGAGTTAAGATTAACGTTTATGATAACCTGGATAAGTAATAAATTTTAAATTGAAACTACAGATGATAAAGAATAAACCTTGGATTTCTGAAGCCTTAGAATATCCACTTTAGTATTTCTGCTGAAGAATTCATCTGTTTTCTCTATTTGATTTTGTTTTTCTCTCTCGCGACAGCAACCACATTAAATAAATGCTTGCATTCATTTTATTTTTCTATTTTTGTTTGTTCACTAGAACTAGAACCACTGTTTCTACAATAGATTTATCAAAATATAAAAATACCATAAAATTCAGTCACTCGGGAGGCTGAGGCAAGAGAATTGCCTAACCCCAGGAGTTGGAGGTTGCTGTGAGCTGTGATGCCACAGCACTCTACTGAGGGCAATAAAGTGAGACTCTGTCTCTAAATTTTAAAAAAAACATAAAATTCACCCTGATAAAGTGCATAATTCAGTGGTTTTTAGTATATTCACAGAGTTAAGTGATTCACTCCCGAGTTTAGAATATTACCATCACCACTCCTAAAAAAGCCTTGATATCCATTAGCAATTACTGCTATTCCCTCATCCCCCACAGGAAACCACCCATCTACATTCTGTCTTTATGAATTTGCCTATTCTGGACATTTCATATAAATAGAATCATACAGTGTATGGCATTTTTATCTGACTTCTTTCACTTGGCACAATTTTTCTTTTTTTTTTTGAGACAGGGTCCTGCTCTATTGCCCAGACTAGAATGCAGTGGCATAATCATAGGTCACTGCAACCTCAAACTCCTAAGCTCAAGAGATCCT